ACCACTATTCATACAAAGATTTTTGTTCATTGTTATTCCTCCTCCACTGTGCATGGCATCCTACAGTGTAGATTAGGTGAAGATAATTGTTGTGATATTTTGATCTATAGAGATTATTAAAATACCTTCTGGGCCAGCTATTCAGAAAGCATAGATCTGGAAAACTGTGGTTCAAGGCCAGTCTGGAGTTAAGAAATAGTGTGAACCCATCTCAATAAAAATGCTGGATGAAGTGGCACTCACCTACCTTCCCAGCTGCAAGAGTGGTATAGGTAGGAAGATCATACCCTACATAACACAAAAAAGGCTAGGGGCACTGGGCACCAGTGACTCACACCTGTAATCCTAGCTATTCGGGAGGCAGAGATCAGGAGGATCATGGTTCAAAGCCAGCCCAGGGAAATAGTTCTCAAGACCTATCTCAAAAAAATCCCTATCATGAAAAACTGGGCTGGTGGAGTGGCTCGAGGTGGGCCTTGAGTTCAAACCCAACAAATAAATAAATAAATAAACCCCACACAATCAATCAATAAATAAAAGGCCAGAGACTTGGCTTAAGTGGTAGAGTACCTGCCTAGCAAGTGCAAGGCCCTGAATTCAAATCCCAGTACCACAAAAACATTTGAAAAATAAAAACACAAACAAAAAGAACCTGTTTCCTATTTCTTGGATGTAGACTAACTCTACTTTCTCACTTCCTTATTCCTGTTTGAATTGCATAAATAACAGCTGCACAGCTGAATCACATGTTTTAAAGTGTTTTCTATTTCTTTTTATTGATTTTTCTCAGACGTTAAAGCATTAATTTTGCCTCAGAGTTTTACTCTGTAGTGTAAACACTGTGAGATAGGTCTTCAGAAGAGGGGTGGAGCAAGCAATTGAGAACAGGCACTGGATTCTCTTACGTTATCCCATGACACTGGCAGCTTGTGAGAGATAACCACAACCATTAATATAAAAAGTTAATAAACAGATAACATTAATAAACACCATCAAGATAGACCTGGTGAGTGAGATGGAAAATGTAACTTAAATCAAAATTAACATCTGTTCAAATATCTGCAGCATTTTTTGTAGGTATAAGTGTTCAAGACCATATTTCAAACAAGCATATTTCCATATACTATACTATTAAAATTTCTAATGTTTATTTGGAATAATATAAAGCAATTTTATTTGTTATTTAAAAATTCCACAATAATCTTTTGCTAAATTTGTTTTCATATGAGAAGATGCATTTTTGCACCTAAATGCTGGGATAGTAACCCAGTATCTCTTACACTAACTTACCTAGTCTTTTGGCTTTGTCCTATGTTTATAAACATTGTGCTTCTGTGTAATTTAGAACGCTATTATTATTATTATTATCAGTCTCAGAGTTCAAAACATTTTTATTAGAACAAACTCATGCAGAAAACTGCACACTTATTTATTTTTACAATCACTTTGCCTCATTCATTTGTCCCTTTATCCAAATAAAAATGATAGCCGTTATGCACACTTGAAGATAATGATTAGTCATAATTATTTTTAAGATGGACAGATGAACTACAAATTAAACTCTTGAACTTGTAAGTAAGGGGAGTTAAATTGCCCTTTAAAATTTCAACCAGAAAATCAATTACATTGTATTAAAGCAGAGATTCCCAGTCACCCATGGAATGGCTGGCTCTGAGAACAGAATGAGGTTCCCGCTCACGTATTTATTAGGTGAAGAAACAGTTTCCAGGACAGGGATCTTTCCACACATGAGATGTGTCACCAGAACCTACGAACACAGAAGCCCAGTTTCCTGGTGAAAGCATGATTATGGAGCAGGTGGGATTTCAATGAAGAGGGAGGAGGAGGTGAGATATTTTCTCTGGGCTTGTGAAGAAGGACCAAAGCTTTCCACAGTCTGGTGGGAATATGGCTCATGGTATATAATCTGGATTGTGGGGCCACAGAACAGCCTTAATCACTGCTATCAAACTAAGACAAAGGAAGAAAACAATAAAAGTTAACTTCAGGTGAAATTAAAAATGTGAAAATGGTGTGAGGAACCCAGTGACCTACGAAGAGGCATTACACTCCCAAGGATAATGTCATGGATAAGTAGCAAAATACTAACGGCAATAACCAATTCACTAGCAAATTCTGTGCATCTACATGCAAAACACATCCCTACACTCTAGCTCACACCACCATTATCTCTCACATGGCTACTACAATAGCCTGCTTCCACTCTAGCCAGGACCCTCATAGCAGTAACTGAGAACCAGAAAGATGTAAACCCAATGATACCACTTCGCTGACCCCATAGCATAAAATCCAAGGTCCAGTATGTGACTAAACCTCTTTCCCAACACACACTTCCCTTTATACTCATTCTTTCCGGCCACATTTGGTTTTCCCCCTTTTCCTGGAATACTTAAAATTCATCCTACCACTTTCAGCATAGTCCTTTCTCCTGGACTTCTCTTCCTGCAGGAGTTCATGGGGTTCTTCTCTTCTGCGTCCTCTGCCCTCTGCTCAAATGTTGAGCACCTTACTTGAAACAGAAGCTTCCAATCCAAATCATAGCCTGACTCCTCACTCTGCATTTTACTCATATAGATTTTATCATTATCCAAAAATGTATATGCCATGTACATGTGTGCATGTGTATGTATATATACGTGTTTAAATACATATATACAGTGTTCTTGTTTTATTTCTCATTATTGGCTATGTCTTGTCTGTTCCACAGAAAAGATTCTTAAGTTTTTGGTCATAGTAACTGCTTTATTAAATTAATTCTAATTACTACTGATTTTTTACTAGTCTCTTACCCACTGTGCTCTAATTCAGTGTAACCTTTTTAATTATAATTTGTCTTTCATGGAGACTGCCTGCAAGAGAAAAAAATCTCTCTCTACAAACTTACAAAAACCATTCCGATTGGTTTGATAGTAGTGTTATAAATCGAAAAATTGATATTTTGTCTTGTACACACTATTTTATTAACTTGGTTGGGGCCTTTTCTTACCAGAATGATCTGCCTTATGGCCAAGATAAAAAGCAAGCCCCTTCAGTGGCCCTCTTGAGTGCCATGGGCTGCTCTACCCAGACTATAGTAATATTTTATGGGTTCATCTCTTAATATCACTACAATATGTCACATCAATTTACTCAGTTACCTGTAAGTAGGAAAGAAGAAATTGTATAAATAAGTCTTTATTCATAGTAGATGTAGCTTTTTTTTTTTTTGAGATCTTTCTCCTGCCTTTTCTTTTAAATTTTCACTGACTTTGACTTAAACATAATCAAGATTTCCATTTTTAATAGTTTCAAGTGACAGGGCCATTCTTAAATCTGAACACATATGGAGATGTCAAAGGACAGACTAATTGCCTCAATAAAGATGAAATCTCTTTGATCCTTATTCAAATTAAAGCACATGATTGATGGCAAAGACCCAAGCCTGTTCTAAAGCAGTTTTCTGATGTCACACTATACTTCATTACAGCCAACCTGAAATCAAATTAAGGCCACAATTCTTATCAGATACAATCTACAGTGACTCCAAATCTATGAAGCTGAAATTCAGATAAAGAATGAAAGGTCATCTACAGGCAAACTGCAACATATTTCACTGAAAAATTTGAGGACAATTTCAGCCCTCTCAATTTCCAAGAATAGGAAGGCTATTTCTAATGTACTGACAGATTTTAAATTGCCATACCTTTTGTTGTGGACATCTCTCATTTTTGGAATTCAAGAAATACCTATGTCAATTTTCTGGCTGAGCTTCTAGCATGATATTAAAAGAAAAGTCATATATTTCTTCTCAGGTATGCTTTATTATTTCTATACCCTTAAACAAGCCAGGGGAATGGACAGATTATGATTAGATCGCTTATTATAGTGTTTTACTCATAGCAGATATTCATTAAATATTGTTTGAAGGAAAGAATAAATAACAGAAATAGTTATGTAAATTTGTTAGATGTCCTAAATATGTCTTAGTCAAATATGTCACAAACAGCCTTCACCCCTCTAAGTGAGAAAGAGCTAATAAGACAAGACTGTAGGCAACAGAAGGTGTAATGGCGGAGCTGACAAATTCTGTTCTAAATATAGCTCTTGAAAATGTTTGACATATGATTTCCCATAATTCTTCATTTATCCTGATTTACAGTGCCTCTATGTCTTTATTTACATTAAAATGTGTGGGCAGTGATCAGATAAGAGATAATTCCTTCAAATTCAAACTCAACTGGTCCATAATTTCTGTAAATTAATTAGCAAAGATGCAAAGGAAAACAAACACATCCAGAAAAATTCCACTAACAAGTCTATAAATGCCAAGTAAATGGATTCGGGAAATAAAAGAACATCTAGATGTCAATATTAGGTAGGTTATCAGAAGAGAGCAAGAAAATGGGAAAAATGAGGGGAAATGGCAGAGGTAGTGAAATGGATCAAACCATGGAGTCTACAGTCTGCTCCTTTTTTTATTTTTAATGTTAATAACTGATTTTGATTCAGGATGTATAGGGCAGGGAGGATCACTAGTTGACATTGGATAGGATTATAAGAAAGGATCCTCAATTTTGGGAACAGAGTTCTAATTTTGGAAGATTTCTAATATCATACCAAAACCACTAGTGTAATAAACTGGAACGAATCATCTAATCTGTCTTATTAAGGAAGCAGGAAGGCAGGCTTTGGAACTGGTCACACAGCAAATTTAAATCTCATCTACTGAGTACATCTCTGAAGGCAAGCCCATCCCCTGAGCTCAGTTGTCCCATCAGTGGAGTAGGATAATATTATTGCACAGGTTGTTTATGAGGAAAAAGTGAAACATTTGGCACAGATTGGATCATGGGTTTTTAGTCAATGGTAGTTTGTTGCTATTTTGGTTTTTTTTTTTTCTTGTATCATTGTTTTTTTCTAGCTGGTACTATTCAATTTGGGCCCACCTCTGCATTCGCATCAAACAATTAAATGGCGAATGGCTTAGAAAGAGAACTTACCCACAAAGAGTTGACTGTTGAGCTGTAAAAGGACATGGCCGTCAGCTGGAGCTGCTTGTGTCTTTGGTGAGAGTTGATCCACCTGAATGGATGCCTCTTTCATGTTCCTTTCAACTCGAACATGATGCCATTGGTTGTCGTTGAAGTGGGTAGGTGACTGCACTGAGATTTCGAAAGGACCGTTTCCCACGTCAAATGAAAAGGTCACTGTTGTCGGAGCTGGAAATATTAGGCATGAAGATTGTGCAAGTCAGTACACATGGCAGAGAGCTGAGTGTTTAATGCACTTAGGAACAGCACCACACAACAATCACTGAACATAAAGACAATGGGAAAAAGACAATGGTTTGATGTTATGGAAAGAACCAATGGCACCATATAGAAATTGCACTTCTGATATTGGATGAACAGTAAGGTACATTCATATTTTCAGATAAAACTAGAGATTGTATGATATTTTATATGTGAGGATAAGTGCTTCAGTGACTCAAACTTTATTTTATAGGCATTCAATATGCATTTGATATTATGATGTTACTGTCAACCTATGATACCTAAATGAGTGGTTGACTTTGTAGTTTTGTAATTATATGAAATTTTTTAACTTTTTAATTATTTGAATTTAAACTCTTCATTAATTGTTACCAGAAAATACCAATAAATTTCCCAACTTATGTGTTAAATATCAAGGTGTTTTCTTGCAAAAAAGAATGTTAATATAGTAGACATTTTTCAAAGAGATACAATGAAAAGATGAGCTGGTAAAGTAGAAACGTGAGTTCCTGAAAAATTAAAGGATTAACTAAGGGTGTCCCATAGACTTCTCTGGAAAGGAAACTTACAGCGTAGCTCTATCCGTATAAAATCAGTAATTCCCAGGTTCTCTAAAAATACCCCAGACAGAGCTGTTGTCTTGAAAAAGAAAGACACATCAGCACTGAGTTCTCCATGGAAAGTAGGAAAATGAAGGTAGGAAGCCTCAGTATTGAAGGAAGCTGAATTCCAAAATGACCCTGTTGAAAACATATACACACACACACACACACACACACACAAAGGAAGGGAAAAATTCAAAAGGTAAGAAAACAAATTCATGACATATGAATGATATACAGTAATAGCATTTTTATATCTAGCTTTTATTCTATCTGAAATATTGCTTAGTCAGACAAAACTGCTTTTCTTTTCAGTAGTAATGTGCAATATACAGGGCATTGATATATGATGACAGATTTCACCAGGATTGAAATTCTGGATTTCTTCCAGTATAAGGACAGGAATGATTACTACAGAAATTATCTAAATATAAGAAAATATATCCTCAGCCTAAATACCATCCTCTGACAAAGCAGTATTTTAAGGATCAGCCAAACCTTAATAGCTTAATTTTTTTATAGCTTGAAAATTTACACACCTACTTGCTTTGACTAACAAAATTGCTGAAGAGATTCACAGTAGTTTTGTTTCAATACACATGCTTCACAGTTACATTTTCAACTGTTTCCATTAATGGGCCTCATGATTTTTTTTAAAACTACGATTGGTATTCTAAAGATTCTCATCTAGTTACAGATCATGATAAACCCACTCTGTGCTCCACTGATTTTCCCATGAAAACATCCTTTTCTTTCTAAGTCATCCCTGACTTTGCTTACAAGAATGAAGTAAATGAAAAGTGTTCTCAAAAGGTTACAAATACTCAAAATAGAGGGATAAAGAAATATGTAGACCATAAAGTTAATTATAATTGCTGTCCAAATACAACTTTTTACCTTCACTATTTCATGACTTTTTTGAGGATACATACATCTTTTCTTTTGAAAAAACATTGTGGGGGTTGTACAGGAAAAATATGGAAATAAAACATAAATACAATGCAAGAGTTAAATGACTGCAGTGAAACCCAGCTGGATGTAAGTAGCTGGTGAGAATTATCAGAGACATGAGCTGTGACAATTGCAGTGACCACCAGCAAACTCTCCACACATTAACTGGGAATATTCATACTCAGTTTTAAGCAAGTGCCTCCATGAGCAATCCTGACACTGGATAACATTCTCCTGTTGAAATTCCCTTCCCAGAAGACACATGGCTTGATCCTCTAGAGTCAGAAAATCAACATAACAGCTCAGTAGGTCAGCGGAGAACATATACCTCGCAAGTTAAAAATCACAAACTGGAGTCTGTTTCTACACATTCCTTAGATTTTCATTTATTTTCTATAACTTCTGGACCAAACGACTTATATCTATTTTTTTCTGTTTTTCTTGTGGCCCTGATTCAAAAGTTAATTCGCGTATTGACAATTTTAGGGTTGAATTTATTCACCTGAGAATCTACTTTAAGGATTTTTATTTTTCTCCAGAGCCAAATGAAACCTTTGTCCTTCTTTTTACAGCTGTTTCTCTGCCTAGACACTTTGATCTTAGACTAGGAAAAGCAAGAAAATGCAAAATATCAAGCCAGGGCTAACAGGAAATGTATTGTGTTAAAAATTCTTACCTGATTTACTTGTAGAATTACATGGTTTTCTCTTGAAATGTTACAGAGGAAAATTAAAATAGAGCTGTAACTTTAAATTATGAAATATTATTAAATCTTATTTTGTGTAATTGGAAAGGGAACATTCAGAATTACTTACTGGTTTAAATTAGATAATATTATAAAAATAATTCATTTGTTTCATATTATATCATAACTAACCCAATAAAGCATCATATCACAGGCATCAGGGAACTGGTGGAAACAGAGCAATTCTTTGAATTGCTGTTCCCTTTTATAGCAATGAAAACAATTTGTTACTTTAGGTGTCTAAAACACCTCATACACATAACCATATGTTTTGTTTAGTTAGCAGACCTTAATAGATAGACCTCAATAGACTCATAATAGATAGAAAATGAAGTAAGCCCATTTTATGGGATGAAAAAAATTGCCGCTAATTCAAGACAATGATGAAGAAAGCCAAGGGCAATATTTAAATAATCAAACAAGGTTAATGGCCATGATAGCTCAGCTCATTATACCCTTTGCTAAGAAGCACTCAGGAGAAACTGGGTGGCCTCAGAGAACCGGCATGGGGGAAGGGCATGGACTCTTCAGGCAACATCAGCAAGAAGCTCCAGATCCCACCATGGGTAAGGGAGTTTGAAATTCCCCAAGCTGCACCTATAGCAGATTTGAATGTGATAACATGCTGTGTGAATTGCACTCAGGAGAGTGAAACACCTTTTCCATCACCCCTCCCCTCACAAAAAGTCACATCCTGATGTGACTTTTATTATTTGAAGCCATCAGTACTTAGTAATAATTAATAATCAGTATATATTTTCAATTAAATCCAATATAGGTTACCAGAGACTCGAGTTTCCTTTGGAAAAACCACCTTTCATCTTTCCAGAATGATATACGTATATATTTATAATTACACAAAACAGGATTCATGTACTTATTGACATAGCAGAAGATGAACTGTTTAATTCCACAGTTTTTTTTATAAAAGACCAAGTAGGAAAATAAATTTAGTACTATGTTAAGATTACATGTACTTCTTAAAAATAATTATTTTGCTAATTTTTTTATCTCACTAGTAGAATAGCCTGTTTAAAAAACAGACTTACAGAAAAAGAAAGTAGATTAGTGGTTTCCTAGAGTAGGAGAGATAGGGCAATAGGGAAGGATGGGGACTAGAACCCTTTCTTAAAAATGAAAAAAAAATTTTTAATGTTCAAGCACTGATGTAAGGAATGTTTTAGCAGCCAAATGCATCTTCTAAATATTTATGAATAGTTAAAATAAGCTGGAAAATATGGATTTCTTAACAAATAAAATTCTAGGATTAATTACATGTTCTGTTCCATTATTGGGACGGAAAACCTATGCATGGTTTTGTAATTCACTAGTCTTTTTAGTTCCTCTATTGTTATTTTCAACTATTTATGAACCTCAGTAGAAATCTGTATAAGCAAAATGAAAATGAAATCAGGCTGGAGATAATTACGGTTTGTGGGCTGCAGATCAGTGAAAAAGAGATCAGAGATGTTCATCAATGTTTATATAGTGTAGAAATTCCCCTCTCCCACCAAACACTGCATAAGTTGGTATGGTAAAAGCCTCAATGACAGCAGAACAGAAACTGTCTTTCTAACCAAAAGATTTTACCAGTGATCTCTGAAGAAGATATTTCTTCTTGTTATTCTTAAATTAGTTTGTGCCAAACTGTTGTGCTATTAATAGCAAAGGCATGTGTATACTTTAATTATTCAAAGACACACACAATTTTATTTTAGAGTCTGGAAGAATGGAATTTTGGAGCAAGCATCCAATTACTTTTAGTCTAGATGTAAGAGAATATACAAAGTAGTACATGAGATGAATGAAGCTTGTTTAAGCTCGGCATTGCATTATCCATCAGTTGTTCCTACAGTCAGAATGAAGTTGAAAGGGGCACCAGGAGAGAGATCTTTCCAAGGGGCACATCACTATTTTATTTGAAGAAACTTATTTTGAACTAACAGATGCAAGTATTCTAATACACAAAGGAAAACATATTATAAAGTCAAGGTAACATGCATAATCTTGCTATACACTTGGAATCCCAATATTCATCTGAGAAGAGGAGCAACCACCAATAGATAAGTCATAACCAAATGCAGACAGTCAATCAACATGAAATAGACTAATTCTGGTCTAGGCAAAACAAAAGAAGCACTAAATTAATTAAGAGATTTTCATTGACCGGATACTACCTAAAGCATGGCTCCTTTGTTTACATGGCTAACATCAAAAGTAACATGATATTCAGATTATTGTCTTTTAAAAGATATTATAATATTCCAAGTGACTATAAATAAAATAGCTTTTAATATCTTTCTGTATTTGCACACATATAGGCTTATGGTATAAACATTACCATTTTTAAGTACACACATCTATACACTGGTCTTTAGTGTGCATTTGCAATTAAGCACACTGAATTTTTTTCATTGCCCAGAGAATATTTTTATATATAAATTAATTTGATGAAGTATTTCATTAGACCATAATCATCAAAAATAAGAGCTGGTAAGTTATTCATAATATACCTCTTATATAATGACTCCTGCATGTAGGACTTAATTATAGTCTTTATATGTCACTGGGTATGAGCATATTCACCTTTTAAAGAACACTACATGTAAATACATGTTGGAGATAACAAAATGCCAAGTATGAGCACAAATTGCTAACTCTGCAATCACTGTATTTCCTTGATGACTTCACATGGGTCCTGTGCTCTTGCAGGCTATTCTCCCCTTTCTCTTGCCAAGCAAACAATATCCCATTTCTTATTCTTGACCCTGTGCAATGACCTTCTCTAAGAAAAGAAAAGAAAGCAGAAGAGGCATTCTGCAACCTCCCACTTCTGTACCTACTTACCCTCTTGCTCTGTATTCTGTCCTGCTGTAATCAACTGCACCCACTCTACCAGGTCTCTCCTCTCAGCACGAACAGGCTGTTAATTCTCCATCTTAGAAACCCAATCTTGGGATCTTGTTTTCTTCCCACTTACTACTAATTTTCTCCATTTTTTTCTTTTACCAATTGCTGCCTGATTGTGTTCTAGGGTTTTAATTCCACATTTGCCAAAAAATGCCACGGTCACGGTCACCAATGACCTCCTCCTAAGCCACTCACTCACTTTACTTAAGCTGTCACTAACATTTAACATAGTTGATTGTTCTCTTGAAACACTTCCTTCACTTGCAGTCCAGGATGCTCACACTCTTCTGCCTTTGTCATTGATAATATAATTCTCAGTCTTCTTTCCTTCTTCCTCCTCATCACCTTAATCTGCCACTGTTGGGGTGTCCTAAGGCCCTGTTATTAAACTTTTCCATCTACAATAACTTCAGCTGCTCTGTCTTGGGGATTTCAGTATATTGATGATATATGAATATATGTCTGCAGCCTAGTTTTCCAACTGAGAGCTCTATAGCGCTATTTGAAGAACTAATGGCATCTGAGCCTCAAA